CCCCCCCTTTCTTGAAAATGCACTGCCACTGAATACGGAATAGATGACGAAGAATTTGAAAGTTTCCCATGCCACGAGGGACACAAAGAGCACTCACTGGACAGAGCTGTGTTTGTCCCGTCTTGGGGAACTTGCGAACAGTGCGTACTGGTTTTTGTGTCCCTCCGTGTCAGGACTCGAACCGCAAGCCTTCGGGCTGAACAAGTGCATAGAGTCTCTCTGTCAATTGTTTTAAACCTGGATGATGTTTGCATCCTGAGCAGCACAGGTCAATGATTATGCATCTTTACTTCCTTTTGTTGAATAGATAATGATACATTTTTCAGAAAACGGGAAGAGGCCAATTAAACAGCTACCATGTAATACACACAATGGAGAAATTCAGGTCGCGGCGCTGGTGGTGGTAGGATTCGAACACACGTCCGTCTTGATGATAATTTGACGACGTTACCAGCGGGTCACCGCCACCCAGACAAATGCGTAAAAGGGATACCCTTAGTCCAAGGTCATTGTGCACATGAGTAAGAACCGAATATATTCAAGCTAGATTCAACTTATTGATTCTGCTTCCGAGGCTATTGACACTATAAGTTAGTGAGAAGACACAAAGACGGAGTATTCCACTATTTTGTTTTTCTTAGGAAAGAAAACGGCTGAGAGTTGAAAGTTCGGCAATTGGCGGTAGTCACTAAATATCAGTGATTAATGGCATGTATGTGGGACGTACAACAAAGGAGTACCGGGGGGGGATGAAAGCTTAGCTGAACAATAGCGAAAGGAGGAGCGACCGACCCATGGTGAACTAATGGCTACAGGTTACACATGCGAAGATCGGGTTGTCGACAAGTTGAATGACACATACGACATATACATATATATACATAGCTCATATATATATATATATATATATAGCTCTACTCATAAATGAAAAACGAAATGCATACCAATATGGACTATCGATAAACTAAATAAAAATCTAACAAAACACATCATGGCATGTGACGGACATTCCTATTTACGGAACATTATGTGATGAGTAGCAGAATGGGCCAACATTGTGGTAACGCACGTCTATTGCTAAGAAGTGAAAACCAGCAGCTTTAGATCTGGGTCTCCCTGGCTGGGGACCTCGGGATGATGGTCACCAAAGGTTAGAGACACTGAGTGATATGGCCGCGTGTCGTGAACAGTGGCGCTCGTGCATCCACTCTATCACTATTCTATATGAATTCTCCATCTTCCGCTTGATTTTGCTTTCGACATTCCAATTTTCATTCTGCTCTTTTATCCAAATGGGGCACCAAAAGACAGTAACCAAAACCGGCGCACAAAAATGCAGGGTTAATGGTTGTAAAAACAGAACTGAACTGAGATCTGGGTCTTGGATTGGCGAATATTTCCATAGAACAATCGCCATATTGAGCCGAAAAACAGCGAACCTGACCACATCGTTTTCCTGTCTTACTGGACACTGGTAGAAACCATTTCCTTTTCCTCACTAGAATCATACTGCACTTGGTCATTGAAGACGACACCTGAACAAACATGAATTGGTCATTTGGTTCAGCCCCCCCCCCCCCCCCGGG